GGGGGGGGGGAGGAATTGGGGATGCTTTTTAAAAAAAAAAAAAGAAGAAAGAAAAAAAAAAAGGAACAAAAAGCCCTACACAGCTGTGAGACGGCGGTATGGCAAGAAGCGGCAGTGGGCAGATGTTTTGGGCCAGGCCAGATTACCTGTTCCCCAAAGTCAAACCCACGATGAGCCAGCACGGCATGCTAGCTCATGAATGACACTTCTGTGATGAACCCAGTTGCCCAACACTGCAAACCACACCAGCAAAGGAATTTTCCTAACTGAAGACTACAGCTGAAGAGAAAGAAAGAAAGGTCTGAAGCAGGAGTAGAGCGATAAAAATAAGAAAACAGAAAGAACAGAGAGATTGCCTCATCATTAATTTAGGGAGTAGAGACACAAGGAGGAATGTGTAAGATATCCCAAGGCAAGTGAACATTGGGACTGAACATGTGTATTTCACTCGCAAGACTGACTCGAAGGGGAACTGGGGTCTCTGTCCTGCTAGGAGGTACTCCGAAGCAGGCTCTGCAGCAGTTCTCCCTGAGAAACCTTTTGATTATTAACTTATAAGGAAGACCAGGCAGGACATTCTGCTCTCCCATCAAGTACCAAGGGAGAACAGATGTTTCCCGGTCTCAAAGGGACAAACTCAAGAGCGTATCATTTCATACCACTAATTCTTGAGCAAATAAAAAAAGAAAAAAAATCACAGCAAGGGAAACAAGTAAAAAAAGGGTAGGGTAAGCAAGCAAACTCCAATCAGCCTTTCAGTGAAATGCAAATGCTATCAAAAATATTTCATTATTAAATTAATGCTCCATGACATTACTGTTCCCAAAAATACATGGCTGATTACAGACTAGCTTGTAGGGAAGGGACAGGGAAGGCAGTTAATTGGAAAAGATGTTTTATTGTAGCTAACCAGCCTTGCACATTTCTACACTCCCACTCACTGGAGAAACATCTCTTTATGAAGTCTGTGAAGCATAATTAGTTTGATTTTGTTTAAATCTGCATCACTGTACAAGGTAAGCAAAGTCTTTCAGCTCACTAACTTTTCCCAGAAGTTTTGCATCACTGAAATATGCATAACTTCAGTTTTCAGTGATCTACCTCTTCTTCTTCCTACGGCTTACTTGAAGTAGTTCATAAAGTGCCTTATATCTACATCCAGCGTGTTACTGGGTGTTTAAAACACTGTCGGTCTCGAGAGGTCCAACTTCGGAAAGCAAAAATAAATAAATAACCAAACTCTACACAGAAGAAGTTTGCGAGCGCCAGCCTGCTCATGTGCAGCACGCAAACACCACGAACCACGCACCGAGCAGAAAGCCTGTCGGAATACAGATTTACGCAAAGGAAAAAGAAAAAAGAAATAAAAAGACCCAACGGGGAAGGAGCTGCAGTTCCCTTACCTCCGGAGTCCTTTCTGCTGGTTTCTTTCGCAAAGCCTGTTTAATCTTGGGGTCCACAGGAGAGGTCATTCTATTACCCTGCTCCTCCAGGTCCGTAACTCCTCAGAAATAGCTGGCGGGGGGCGATGCCTCCAGGCGAGCAGGGAACACGAAACAACACAACGCGATCAGCCGAGGCTCCCGCCCGGGCTCCGCTGCCGCCGCCCTCCCGCTCGGCAGCGCCGGCGCG